GAGCCGGCGTCCCGGGCCGGCAGAACCCCCCCAGTCCCGCGGGCAGAGCCGGCGTCCCGGGCCGGCAGAACCCCCCCAGTCCCGCGGGCAGAGCCAGTGTCCCGGGCCGGCAGAACCCACCTGCTCCTTGATCTCCTGAAGCTTGTGGCTCTGCTCCCGGATGTCGTGCAGCAGCTGCAGGGCCTTGTCATCCTCCTGAGACACCTCCATGCGCGCCTGCTCCAGGCTGCGCTTCAGGCTCTGGAAGGACAGAGAGAGACGCTGTCCTCGCCGCCTGCACTGTCCCTCCTGCCCCCCTCTCCCCCTGCGGCATCACAGGGGCAGGAATCACACGGCACTGAGCACCTAAGCAAGCCTATCACCCTGTGCATGCCTGCTTTTAGGATAATGAAGGGTCTAACTAGGATATTGACTAAATGTGTTCAGTCTCATTTTGATTAATCGATCATTCATGTCTGTTTCACTCGAGTGACTCTCACTGATGCTAAAGCACAAGTTCACCTCGTTAGTGAGGAGCCGATCAGGCTCAGGTGACGAGGAGATTCCACCCAGAGAACAACGAGCCTGGAGAAAATGCAGCCAGGACCTCTTTAGTGAGGACTGGAGGTCCGGGGTCATTGACCGTGACCTTGTCGGAGAGCGAGGCACCGAGGGCCCTGACGACACACTGACTATTGTGCTTCGAGTCGAAGCGTGACGGTCTGCCCAGCCGCTACAGAGCTGCATTCGGAACGACTGACATACGTCAACATTGATGACAAATGATTTCACCTGCGTCAGGTCCGTTCAATACCATTTCAGCGTGCGTGCTAGAAAACGATCACGTCATTCCCCACACATTAACTTTGTGCATTTGTTGCAGCTGTAAGTGATAACTCTTTATGCCCTCGGTCTAATAACACTGACGACAGGATGAAGGAAACGAGACGAGATCTGGTCCAGAGCTTAAGCACGTCTGTTCCGACACAAACCCAGGGGTTCAAAACCCGAAAGCATCTCGCTTCAGAAGGGGAACTGGTGAACTGTGAAACAGCTGTCAGGTGTCCATTCTTATTGACAGGCAGACCTGTGTCCAGAGAATTACCTCTTTCCTGCTACATTTGCGTCTCTTTACTTGTTCATTTTCACAGCACTCCAGGGTTCTCGATAAATACTCCCACCACACAGCAATCAAATCTGCTGCAGAACTAAAGCCGCTAATTAGCCACACCTGTGCTCGATGAGGCAAGTCCCAGCAGAGCAGCCAGAGGCTAAGGTGCAAATTCATTACGCAAGGCATCCAGCTTCTGCACGGGTCTGAGCACACGAGCAGTGCACACAGCCGCCTCGCAGAAGGAAAAGACCGCATCTTCTGCGATCTGATGTTGTTTTTGTTGGGCAGGACTCAAGCGCCGCGTCAGTTCTACTTATTCTGTCAATTCTACTTAGCCTGCGGACTGGAGAAAGAGGTATTACCTGCACATTCCTCTCTCCGACAGGCCAGATGTTGGGAAAGGAGGCCGAAGGAATCTACCCATCAGTAATCCGACCTCCCCACTTTTTGTTCGTGGCACAGAGAGTGGCCAACTTATTTGTGCATCGTTATGCAGGCAAACTACAGAAGCAATGTGGAATCTACAACAAAAAACCCTGAAACATGACAAATTTTGGGGGTGCTGAGGAGCCTCCTAAGTTATCCTTCCAAAACGGATCAGCGGACGGACGGACGGACACTCACGCTGCACTCCGTGATGTAGGTGGCCAGGTCCTGCTCCAGTATGGAGCGCTGCGTCTCCGAAGCCTGCAGCTCCACATCCTTCTGCTTCAGCACGGACTCCAGGTCAGACATCTTGCGCTGGAATCGGGAGATTTCCTGCTCCATCTGGGAACAGAACCACAGAGTGGTCAGGCGGAGCCTGCTGACCGGAACGCCAGCTGCACGGTCTGGCTCTGCAGTCGCCATGTTAATTGATGCAAACGGAGCAGACTGTGTGAAGCACAGTGACTGGAAGAGACCTCTCAGATCAGTCTCAGGTTATTGCAAAAATCAGCATTCATGGCTCACAGAGAGGGTCACTCTGCCCTCCGGGAGAGAGGTGCTCCTTTGTTGCTTCTGGTGTGAACAAAACGTAATTGTGGCTAAGATGCAACACAATGGACTCCTAGGCTGGAGCAATCTGAGCTCTCAGAATGAGCGTCTTTTCTGACTAATGAAACAGAAATCTAATTCTCTAGGTTACCGAAGAGGACAGCAGGAATATTCCAGAGAAAACATTTTTAAAAAGGCTGTCTACGCTCTGCATAAAGCGATGGCAAAGAAAGGAACTTTAAGAAGGTTCTTTGCGCTGGGGGCAAGTGCAGGAATAAGCTGATTCACTACTGGAGCCCTGCTTGAGAAGGGTGACAACTGCACTCCAGCTGCACACTGCTGCCCTGTGCCAACACATCCGTTCCACAGGCCTGGACTACGCCAAACTGCTTCAGAAGAGCAGAGAGCTCTTCAAAGATGGTTTAACAGAAACATAATAACACCAACAGTCCATTCTATTTCCATTCATAAAATGTCAAGTGAGTCCCTCACAGCTACTGTATATAGAGCTCCCTGCAGAACACTAAACCTGAATTTACAGCACAATGCAGAAGGTATAGGAACCCCTGAGCCCCCACACCCCACTGACACCAGCCTGGAGTCCCTTGAGGCCCCACACCCTACTTACACCAGTTTGGAGCCCCCTGAGCCCCCACACCCCACTGGAGCCCCCTGAGCCCCCCACACCCCACTGACACCAGCCTGGAGTCCCTTGAG